CGCGCCGCAGTCGCGAGTGCTCCGGGAGCCGCCGCGGCCCTCCGGAGGCGTCCAGTTTTGAAAGGGTGATTTCTTTCTCCCCTCCCGGGCTCCGCTTGGAGAGGAAGGGACGCAGGCGTCCTGGCCGGACTGTGAAAGTTAGGTGGAAGGGCCCCGGCCCCTTCCTGCAGGAGTGCGTACCTGGGCGCACTGGTGAGAGCACCCCGTGGTTTTGTTTTTGTTTTTCCTCTTTTTCTTTTAAAGGGGGAATCCGAGAGTAACAGTGAAAATAGTCTGTTCGGAGAATTTGAGCCATTGTGTGATGGTAAGGGCAAAGGCGCTCCAAGAAAGACCTCAATCCTGGTGTTCTCGGTGTCGACTGCCTTTTATGTTGGAATGTGCTACTTGATTGTGTGGTGTGTCAGACATTTCTAATTGGGTGAGAGTTAGACATGTAAAAACATTTCCGTATTTCTTATGTGTACCTCTGATATGATTTTAGGTTTCTCTTTGGCAGTTCAGACCTTTACAGGGTAGGAAGACTATTAAAAAAAAAAAAAAGAACGCCAGTTTAGAAGCTATTTAAACAAATACGTGACTGTATTTTAAAGCAGTATTATTTTCACAGCCTCCACATAACTGTATCTTGAAAAGAGAAGACTAAAAACCATACAGTCTTTGTTGTAGGCGTGACTAAATTAGTTTTTCAAACTTCTCCAAGAAGAACATTTATAAAATTCCATTAAGTTATATTTTAGGTGGAAAAGCGTGACTTTGTGCTCTGAATTTAAATCAGGAAGAAGTTGCAGTCACCAAGTTCCATTTGTGGAACTTTGTGCCTTGATGTCTTAAGCAATGTAAATATGAAAACCTAGGATCCTTAAAACTCTTTAAGACTTATTTTCAAAGTAAGGGGGAGCTCCTGGTCTTGTTTCCGCCATTTTGAGTCAATTTCTCCTAGTGTCAAAGTTTCAAAGTAGAGATTCTTGTAGGATGCGTGCTGCGTTTGAGGAATATTAAAGCCAGACTGGCAAATCTATTTTGGAGCTCTGTGCTAGGGAGAAGAGGGAACTCCGATGGAGAAAGTACATTAACTTCTTTTTCTCCCCTTCCCTCAGCTTCTTTTCTTGTCTGACTGTGGGAAACTTGAAAAGGAGGGCGAAATTCTATTAGTCTCACAACTTTGGGTGCATTTACTTCCTTCAAAACTAAAACGTGCAAAAGCAGTTCGAGTTAGCAGGAAACCGAGCCGCAGCTGCCGAGGACCCAAATGTCCGAGAATTTGCCTTCACAGGATCTGCAGCCTCCACACATCTAAATCAACATGGAAGCGGCTGGCACTACAGGCGCTCACCCTCGTGGTTGCAAATGTGGAGCTTGTTATTATCTGATTGGTGGGCTTCTCACTTCACTTCAGAATTTCTGGCAAGCCTTGTGCCAGTCTTCAAGACTTCTTTGCAGCATGCTTAAATATTTGATGGGTATCGCTTAAAAATTAAATGCTTGTTTGTTTAGCTTTAGTTCTTCAGACACATATAATCAAGGTTCTCCAAAACGCTAATAAATCTGTTACTTACCTCGAAATCTAATTATCCAGACTACTAATTAGGTGAAAATGATTACTGGAAATGACTTTAAATGTGAAATAATAGCGACTGGGCCGTTTTCTCAAGTTTGTTGTTTAGCGAGTTTGTATTTTAGATGTTAAATGCATTGACATTTTAGGTTCGAAGGAGTTGAAAGTGGTAAAAAGCTAAGATAATTAAAATCTCTGCCAAGGAAAGGCAACAGTCTGGGCAGAGGTAGATTTCTTGAATTGTTTCTTTGTTTCTCACCAATGGGCTTTGTTATCAGCATTATTTATTTAGCCAAAGAGTTCTTTGTCTCTGCAAATGGCCCCAATCAAGTTTTGTTTGAGACAATTAGCGAGTGCCAGCCAATGAGTCCTATGCAAATGTTGGGATAGGAATGCGAGGTGTGCATTTGAAGGCCTGGGGTTTTGTGCTGGGGAAAGGCAGATTGTAATTGCTTTCTTAGGGTCCCTTCTTTTTTTAAGTTTAGTGTGGGGGTGGGGAAGACAGGTTTATCTGGTCTCCCTGCAGTCCCAGCGCAGCTGTGGAGGGTTGGTAGGGGGGCAGCGAGTCCTTTAAAAGCCTCAGCCTGGCCTGGCTGGCCTCTCTTTAGCTAGTGGTGGAACGTGGGGGGAGCTGCTGCCTCCGAAGCAGTAAACCAGCACCTCTGTTTGTTTGCTTTGCCCTTAGTTCCACCAGTCCAAAACTACCCACCGAGGACCTTGAACCTGTCCACCCCAGGCGAATCCAGACCTTCTGGCTGGGTCCCCTCGATTTGGGCCGACTTTGCGCCTCCAAACAACCTTAGCATGATGTCTTATCTTAAGCAACCGCCTTACGCAGTCAATGGGCTGAGTCTGACCACTTCGGGCATGGACTTGCTGCACCCCTCCGTGGGCTACCCGGGTAAGTGAGTCTGTGGCCACCCGCCCTCAGGGATGGACACCCTGTCTCCCGTGAGCACCGGGCTGGAGGTCACGCTGTCCCACCCCAGTGAGGTGACCGCTGAGTCTTCCTCACGAAGAAGCTGCTAAGAGTCTTTGGGCATGGACTGACCGGGAGAGGACAGGCTGGGAAGGAGCGAGGAGGTGTGTCTGCTGCAGTTACAGGAAATCCCACTGTGGATTAATTCCATGGCTCCAGGCACTGAGGTGAGGTGGGGAAGGCTACTTCCCTTGTCCCTGGGGCCTGAGGCCCTTGGCCTTTCTGTCTCCATGCCCAGTCACTTGGAAGCAGGTAGGAGAAGACTAGTTTCCTCCCCAAGTCTCCTGTACAACTCGAGGCTTTGCCGGAGGCTCTACTTGACCTAATCTCAAAGGTGTGACTCCCCCTGGGGCAATACTTTCTTTTTGCTCAGATCTGTTTTGTAAAATCCTCCTGGAAGTTTGAGCTCTGTCCCTATTTTAAAGATGGAGAAACAAAGGCCCTTGGAGTGCTAAAACCAGTGAGCAGGGTGGCGATTCCCCCTGTCCATCCTGGCGTCCTGTTGGAGATCCTTTGACTTCAATGGGTGGCCTTTCTATATGTGTGGTAGTTTGAGGGGCGGGTTTGGGGAGTTGAGGGGTTTTTATTTGTCTTGTTGTCTCTCTTTAAACTGACTGTCTAGTGGAAGTGATCTCTTGAGTTGGGCCAGTTGGGGCCATTCCGGGATGGGCGCAGACCTTGCAGGGGTGGGGTGAGCCTTGGTAAGCATGGGAGGGTGGGAGAGTCAGGAGCTGGAGACCTCATAACTGAGAAACTGCTCCCCCATCCTAAAGGGCCCTGGGCTTCTTGTCCTGCAGCCACCCCTCGGAAACAGCGGCGGGAGAGGACGACCTTCACCCGGGCTCAGCTAGATGTTCTGGAAGCGCTGTTTGCCAAGACCCGGTACCCAGACATCTTCATGCGTGAGGAGGTGGCACTGAAAATCAACTTGCCCGAGTCCAGGGTGCAGGTAGGAGCCATCCTTATGCCATGCGCACATCTCCCAGGCGTGGTATCTGTAGGGGGATTCAGCTCCAAGCCTGTACAGGATCCAAGGACGGTTACAACTCTAAACATCCAGGGACCAGTAAACTATTCTCCTTGACCTCTGTTGGTTTCCCATTCCCCGCTAATTGTATAAGCAGAGGTCTGGTCCTGGTTGCTGAGTGAGAGTGGCAGTTTGGCCATAATGGAGAAGTCCTAGAACCCTGGGTTCTGTGCTGGGCAGAGACACACCCATGGGCAGATCTCAGTGGTAGTGTTTAAGCCTTACTCCTCCCTGTGTGGACATTCTCTCCTACTTTCACGGACTTTTACATGTGGGAGAAGCTTGAGTCCTAGACCGTCTAAATACTTTTACAGTAAAGAAATAAAAACGAATGACTTACTCAAGGTCATAACCTAAACTGGAGGCAGAGCCAGGCTGTAGGAACAGCTGGTGCTTTTGTCAAATAAGACAATACAATAAAAATGTGTTTTCTTTAACTTCTTAGGAATTGAACAGAATTTTCTAGTTCTGGGCCATTTAACAGATAAAATATCTAGAAAATGTCTTTAGTGACGCCCCCTTTGCTTAGCTATTCGCTTCCCCTCTTGACCCTAAAGGGGAAAGGGAACGTCAGTCAGTCCTCCTTGCCTGGAGAGGAAGCCCCACACAGAGTTCTCGGGAAAGTGTTGAGCGGGTAGCCCACATGCACACCTGGGACTGTCCCTCAGGTAGAACTGTTTGTGAAAGCACCAGACATCAGCCTGAACTGCAAAGTAGAAAACAGGCTTTTTCAAAGTGGACTGGAAGCACTCATGAAGCTCGAATCAAAGTCCTTGCTGGTGTTGAGAGTGGCCTCAGGGAGAGCTTGTTCAAGAGGACAAAGACATACTGAGGACTTGTAGCCCAGAAGAGAACTTGTCCTTTGCAGAGCAAGAAAAGAGAATTTTCAGAGTTGCAGGTGGAGGTTTCAGTTGAAAAGCCAGTGAACATAATACAAGGAACAGAAGCTACAGGCTGAAGAGTGTGCTGCTCCAAAGGCACAGACTTGAATCCTGGAGTCCTGTAGAGAGAGAGAGAGAGAGAGAGAGAGAGAGAGAGTCTGTACTTAAGTGCAAAGCAAAGAACATATAGATCACCCCATTTACCTCAGAGCAGCTTTCTCCAACCAGATTGCAGACTTCTTTTCTCAATGGGATGCTGTCTTCTTGGTGCTTTCTTTTGGGAGTCTTTCTAGGACAGGCAAAATGTAAGGAGATGAAACCAACCTCCACATTAGCAATTGCCCCTGCAAGACAAAATGCAAATTTTGAATTTAGGCTGCTCTTATGGGCATGTAACAGTAGAATTATTTTCATTCTCTTCTCTTGCATTTCCTTCCAAAAGACAGATACATTCTATTCCACTGCAAAAATATCTCAAAATACAGCTGGGGCTTTGTGTGTGTGTGTGTGTTAGAAATAAGATAGGTGAGCAAGATGGAAAATTTTAGCCATATGACTTGAGGGATTATCTTAAAATTTATTGTTCTGGGCCAGTAATAAGAAGGGGTCAAATGCTTTCAAACAGAGCCTCCCAGGGTTCTTACAGTTCTAGAAGCAGGAGTGAGAGTGTCTCACTAGATCTGCAGTTGCTGGAGGGTTGTCTCCTGAGCTCATCTTTCTTGTGGGACAGATTTATAATCCAGGAGACACTCTTCTCCTTAAGCAGTTGTTGAATCCATGTTTTAAAAGGTGTCTTTCCCTTTCAAGGTGTGGTTTAAGAATCGAAGAGCTAAGTGCCGCCAACAACAGCAGCAACAGCAGAATGGAGGTCAAAACAAAGTGAGACCTGCCAAAAAGAAGACTTCTCCGGCCCGGGAAGTGAGTTCAGAGAGCGGAACAAGTGGCCAGTTCACTCCCTCTAGCACCTCAGTCCCGACTATTGCCAGCAGCAGTGCTCCTGTGTCTATCTGGAGCCCAGCCTCCATCTCCCCACTGTCAGACCCCTTGTCCACCTCCTCTTCCTGCATGCAGAGGTCCTATCCTATGACCTACACTCAGGCTTCAGGTTATAGTCAAGGATATGCTGGCTCAACTTCCTACTTTGGGGGCATGGACTGTGGATCTTACTTGACCCCTATGCACCACCAGCTTCCTGGACCAGGGGCCACACTCAGTCCCATGGGTACCAATGCAGTCACCAGCCATCTCAATCAGTCCCCAGCTTCCCTTTCCACCCAGGGATATGGAGCTTCAAGCTTGGGTTTTAACTCCACTACTGATTGCTTGGATTATAAGGACCAAACCGCCTCCTGGAAGCTTAACTTCAATGCTGACTGCTTGGATTATAAAGACCAGACATCCTCGTGGAAATTCCAGGTTTTGTGAAGATCTATAGAACCTCTTTTTGTGGTTGATTTTTAAATACGCTGGGCTGGACATTCCAGTTTTAGCCAGGCATTGGTTAAAAGCATTAGATGGGATGACGCTCAGACTCCTCTGATCAAAATTCTGGGAGGCATAGAAGGAAAAATGAAAGGCCTTAGAGGGGCCTATCAACCAGCAACCTGAAATGGACAAACCAATCTACTTAAGATCCTGTCATAGTTTTAGATTATTGGTTTTCCTGATTTTCGATGTGATCTATCCAATGCATTCTAGCCATGTGCAACTAAACACACCAAAACTAAAATCAGAATGAAGTTGTGAGGGAAGGGAGGGAAGGTCATTGCCTTCATAAGCAGAGGTGATCCAATGTTTTAGCCAATCCTTGGTTGAATCTTAGGAATGAACAGTGTCTTGAGCTCATTCACGTTTCATGACCAACTGGTAGTTGGCACTGAAAAACTTTTCAGGGCTGTGTGAATTGTGCGACTGATTGTCCTAGATGCACTACTTTATTTAAAAAAATAATGTTCATAAGGATTCAATATGTAGTTTAAGAGACAATCAGTGTGTGTCTTATATAAATGGTACATCTGTGGTTTTTAATCTGTGCTAGACTTCAAAACTGTGATCTCCTGTTATTGTATGCAACCTTGAGCCCCACCTCTGCAGGGGCCCTTCTGTGATTAAATAGGTTATAATTATAAGCAAAATTCAGAGCAACTGAGTACAGATCTAAAAAGATTACGTTTGGCTGGAGGTGAGCTGCCCTGAAGGTTTACTACAAAATGTCTCCGGACAAGGAGAGTGAGAGGAGAGACAAAAGGACATGAATCCGTCTGTAATTTACTGTTGGTAAAGCCTAGCAGTCAAGAGACACTGCTCAGTTGCTCTAACCCTGGTGAATTTTTAAACTGAGATCATTGTTTATGCTTGCAGATGTTAACTGGGAAAGTTATATATGCATAAACTTTTTCTTCCTGGATTTGGCAGATATGTATAATTATATTAAAATGGTTCTAGCACAACATTGGGTCTAGTTTACTTTTACACCGTTACTTATGAATGAGAAGACTGCTTTCATTCAGCCTCCCACTCCCAGAATGTTTCCATGTAGGGCAGAAAGGAAATTAGCAATTTTTGACCTTTTTTCTTTTTTGCTAATCTGTGGGTGAACGAGATATGACAGTGGTTTATAAACTTTTTGTGACTTCCTCAGGATTGCTCTGAAGTTGGATTTAGAGAGAGTAACAATCATTAGGATCTTTTTTTGCCCCCACTGCAAACCTGGTTTATTTCTTAGGCACTTTATTAGTATGTTTTAAAATAGATCAATTTTTAAGAGGGAGGAGGAGCTGTGGAATATCTCTCTGAAGATGAGAATGACAAGAATTTCTTGTTCTATTCTCTTATTTGTTTAAGAGGATTTTTTTTAAACTTTCGAATTTCTGAGGTAAACATGAGAAGGAGTGTAATCAGAATCTGAAAGCAATTCGGGCAGAAATGATTTCTGAACAAAAGGGTTTTAAAACCTATAATTTCAGTAGTTGAACATAAGGCACCCTGGTCAGTTTTTGTAAGTGCTGAGAGGCAAAAAAAAAAAAAAAAAAAAAAAGGTCCTTTTCCAGATGTACCTGTATTTTGTAAATTACCAGAGAAGACAAGTGGGGCAAATGATCATGGTGCTTCACAGGTAAAAGCAACATTTAATTTCATTTTAAACTTATGTTCTCAGAGCTGACCAAAATTAAGTGGCTCTTGATGGTAACTTTTAAAATGAAGGTCAGCAGTTGCAACCCTTTCGTTTTCTGGCGGTTTAATTTCCTGCCCCTGGCTGCACATGCTCTCTTGAACCTCACCAAATCTTGCCTTAAAAAACCTGTTTACAGCTGAAGAAAATCCGACAGTTCACCACCAACACTTACTGCAAAATGTGAAGGCAAGACTTCCCAGTACCTACTTGATAACTGAATCCTATACTGTAGTTTACCCTACAGCGAAATTGGGATGGGAGGATCTTTGAGGGTTTCCCAGATTCAGTGTTTTAATCTCCCAATTTCTCTCGTGCAATAATAAGTACATCCAAAATCAATTCCTCCTGTGGGCCTCAGTTTTCAAGAAGCCTCCCAAAGAGTCGGGAAAGATTACTTTTCAAAAATAGTGATCGCAAATGTTGGGCTACCGAGCAAATAACGCAGTTTCCCCCTTGAAATACAAAACGAGGTTACAAAAAGGAAGCCTGGGCATCCCCTGGAATTTAATGCTTCCGTCACCTTCGCACAACTTCGCTTATGGGCGACCACGCGGTTAGATCCCCTTGAACGGGCGGAGAAGGCAGGGGCGAATCCCTGCCAGGGCGGAGGCGGGGCGGGGAGGGGGCAGCTCTGAGTGTGCGGCCCGTTTCGGGTCGCCCTGTCCTCACGGCCCGGTTGGAGGCAGGCCGTGGGCAGTGCGGCAGTGAGGCGACCCTGGACCCGAGGGTGCGCAGGGCGCCTCCTCCACAGGCTGTCCCCTCGGCCGCCCCCGGCCTCGGTCTTTCCCACCAACGCTTTCTCTTCGCGTTTCGCCTCGGGGTGTTTCATCCTCCCCAGATAAGAGGAGAAATTCAATCAAGTCAACTAAGCCCCGGCAGGTTTCGGATAGCAGTTTCCTCCATCCTCTCCCACACGGTCCCCGCATCCATCTTTGCTGCGGTGTCCCCAGCTCGGCCTCTGCGCTGGGGCGCCGCTCTGGGCCGGGCTCTCGGGCCTACCCTCGACTCGCCCTGCGCGCCCACTCCCCACGTCTCGTACCCTCCTCCCGGGAGCGCACTCTGCTCCTCTTTTTGGACCTGGCAGGGTAGCCCTAGGGCCAAAGGCGGGTCCTGGAATGGGGAAGCGGCGCCAACCTGCCGGGAGGCCCCTTCCAGTTACCTGGCTGGGGCGCCGCTCTGGGCCGGGCTCTCGGGCCTACCCTCGACTCGCCCTGCGCGCCCACTCCCCACGTCTCGTACCCTCCTCCCGGGAGCGCACTCTGCTCCTCTTTTTGGACCTGGCAGGGTAGCCCTAGGGCCAAAGGCGGGTCCTGGAATGGGGAAGCGGCGCCAACCTGCCGGGAGGCCCCTTCCAGTTACCTGCAGTGCAGGGGCCTCACACGCGTGTCCGCCTCACTTAACCGGAACGGACCAGCCCGGACGCGCGCGCCGCGTGTTCGAGCCCGCACTTCACGCCCGACAAAGCTGTAACCCAAAACCAGGCATGCCGGAGTTAGGTGGTTGCTTGTTGCATATACGTGTGTTTTTAATCATGCAAAAGGGGGAACACAAAGAAATAGGGTAGGAGACCAGCGCATCCCAAGCAAATGGAAGCAATCCGAGTGGGAAGATGCGGGGTCAGGTTTGGCCCGATCCCCACCGGGACTCTCCGGCCCCTCAAAAACTCTAGGAAGGGCAGCCATATCTTTCCCTTTCTTCTGTGCCACTGAAGGATCCAAGCCCAGATCTGCGAGCAAGGCTCTGAGCACCTGTGTTTTCCTCTTCTAAGCCCTGCAACCTGCCAGCGCAAGGTGCTCTGATAAAACCCGATTTCTACAGAAGCCCCGTTTCCGCCCTTGGGTTAGGGGATTTGCAATCCCGGTGCCCTTGAACTTTCCCCCTGGAGTGGAGAGGACACCCTGTATGACGCTTTTGGTATTCGGCTCCGAAACCGCACAGATTATAGGATTTGTCTCGGACAGAATTAACATTACACGTGAAACTGTAGTGCACCAGTGTATTGAAACATGTCGCATTGGATTGCCTGCAGCAGCCCTGCCAAACTGCCTGTTAATAATAACACGAGACTTTGAGTAGTGTTATTTTTATTTTTTTTTTTGCTTGATTAAAACGAAATCTAGGCACTACCTCGAAAGGGTGGTTTTTCTGATGGAAGCACATCGAAGGAAATGAACCAAATCAGGAACTAGAGGAGGCTTCTGTATGCAGAAGAGGCTGGAGAGGAGGAAGCAGTGTGCATCTGAAAGGGCCTCCACCAGGCAGCTAGCCTCACCCCCCTCCCCAAGCTACAGAGAGCCAGACCTCCGCTCTCGCAGTGTTTTATGTTTTTAAAAACCAACTTGCTGCTGATGCAAACAAACAATAAGCAAATTCAAATAAAGGAGCCCGACAAGTCCAACCCATTTGGTTAAAGGTAGGTGACAGGGGCAGCCAGGCCTTCATCAGGCAAGGCTGGCTTCAAATTTTGTTTTTCTCCTAGAGGGAAAGTCAAACAGCATGAGGTCTACGATTCACTTTTATTCCTTAATCTCCACTCTACTTTCAATTCTTAGTAGAAACGTGGTCTTTTAGGGGGGAAAACAGCATTACAGAGAATATAAAGGGAAGCTGGCAAAGTATGAATTAACATCTGTTTTAGCACAAGGAAGAAAATGTTTCCGAGAATCAGAAGATTCTTGCCACCTCTCTGCCAGTGACGCTGCCTCATTTGCCTACTGCAGAGGGGGGCATGGCCCTTACATTGAGGAATTCTTAGTCTACTTGACAGCACTAGGAGAAATTTACCGCCCAGGACTTCTTTGGGAAAAAGGTCTCTAGCAGCCGTCGGATGGCTGCTCGTCTTTCTTGGGCTGTTCATGAAGGGAGTCGCAAATGCCCCGGTGGGGAGCTACAGGAGCAGCGGCTACCTGCTGGCCCTTGGTCCCAGGCCACAAGGGAAAGGCCGGAAGCATCCCTTAGAGACAGGTCCCAGGTAGGGAGATGTTCTCAGGCACAGCCTCCAATCTCTCAGCCAGAATCTCTAAGGGCCTCAGACCACTCCGAAACCAGAAAATCACTCATCGCAGCCTGGAACTGTTAAAAATCTGTTCCTAGAACCACAGTCATATTTTAGGATCATGGGCCCTTAATACAAATCTCCTTAACATTCAAATGGTTCAAAAAGGCTTTGACAGCGGATTACTGGGCCCTAATGGACGTTATGGGATCCCACGGTCCCCGCGCGGCGAGGGTCTCGAACGGGTGTCCGATGATGTCCTGCCGGACCACTTTTTAGCGGCGCTCCTAAGAAGCGGCGTTCTTCCGGGCAGAGCCTGAGACTTCCGTGTTCTTCACTGAACCGATTTAGCCGCTTGGCGTTCTGCGAACGGGAGAGACGCCCGCCGGCCGGCACGCCCGCCCCTGCGGCAGTCAGGGCAG